CTTTGCCCACATCTTCCTGCTTGAAATCAATGAACACTAAAGGCCGTGTTGGGATCAATCCTTCAACAGAAGAAGAAGAAGTAGAAGCCGCCATGGGATAGCTTTTCTTAAGGGAGAGAACGTTTTTGATCGGTTTAATTCTTGTTATCATCTGTTTGAATTGGTGAAATAATTCAACAAATAACATGTCTAACTTGTCACAATCTGAATTAGTCCAAAAGTCAAAGCTGGAATATATGTTGATGTGGGATATGTTTGTTATCTGTAATGTTTAATTTGGTTTCTTCACAAGGAATCTGATATAGCCATAAAAAAACAGACACATACTTAGAGAAAAGTGGGGAGAGGAACCAAAACACGGAATGTTTATAAGAAAATAAAATAAAATTTGTTGAGATTGAAGACTTCATAAAACAAAAACAAAAATGCATATAGTGAAGAGATTTAGATCAATGATTGATTGTGTCAAGTCGATCAGTTTAGGATTTAGAAACCAAATTCTCTCATGTCCTCCTATGCCAGGCCATATTTGTGTGCTTTTCAATCCTAATTCATAAAAGGAGATTTCTTCACTCAAATTTTACAATATGGAAAAAAAAAATTTGTCTTTACGAGCAAATGAGATCTTGTATGAGTTTAATACTGAACTTATTTTGGTTCTTGTTTTATTTTCTATCTTTTCTTTTTAGACTTAATTCAGTCATGAACTTATGATGATCTCAACATGATTTTTATTCAGTGCTGCTAAAATTATAAATCTTGTAATATTCAAAAATTAGATTTATTCTCTATATCTCTAGGCATTGGGTTTTCCCATTTTATGTTTATATATTAAGATTATTTTCTCATTATAATTAGAAAATAAAGGCCCATGATTCAATCTCCCTATATGTAGTTGAGACTCATAAATGATCATCTCCCAAAGTCAAAACCTTATTCCCAGGAAACTAGATATCACTAAAATTATAAATAAGTAATGCATTAAAAAAAAACACAAAAGTTCATCAGTTAACCAACAAAGTAAGCATAAATTAAAAATCAAAGATCCAAAAATTTATAATTACAAAATATTCAGATGTATTTTGCCCCAGTACAAGAGATGTTTATTACAATATAAAAACCATTAAATCAAAATGAAAGCTCTTCTCAGATTTTGAGTGTAAAATGAATGATTTCATACATAAAACACGTTGCTAGATGTTGTCTAGTCCCACGAGTCAGAAAGCTCTTCTCCGATTTTGTTTAGAAAACAAAAATTGTCTCCTATGTACGTGCATAGTTTGTCTCCAACAGCTAAAGGATATTTGCGTCACAACAAAAATCTGTTTGGTATAATTCGTTTATTTTATCCACTATAGCTGGTCACTATTTATTTCAACTTTGAAGAATCTTAAATAATCATGTAAAAACACTGTATATTAGAACAAGAATAAAGTGCACACCGTTTACCAAACATAAATAAGCTTTTTAATTTCTTTTGGAACAAATTAATATAGAAAGATTAAATGTGCTTTTTACTATGAACTAGACTTTTAATTCGTGTTACGCACGAGTTTATATTAATAATTTGGTTTAATTCTTTTTTTTACTAATATCTTTTAAATTATCAAAATTATAATATATTTATAGAAATTTTTTATATAAAAGAAAATTAAAACATAATATGTAGTTTTAAATATTATTATTATAAAATTATAAATCTTATTAAGTTAAATCATAGTAATATCATCTTACGAATTATCCACTTCGACGTGCATACGTTTGCTTTAGAGAATAATTTTCTTACTAATTTTTTGGTGTTTACTTTTGTGTCCTTAAGATTTTTAAAGTTCTTTTTTCAAGGTTTATATGTTCAAATATTTAATTTTTGATTAAATGTCTCGCTGATGTTGTGTACCTATAGATATATAATATATAATTCATTTTGATTCAGATATACATTTATTAAGATGCTACAATAATCATGTAAAGATGCTTCTTGTTTTTCTACCAGATCTTCTATGAAGTTTAAGTTATATCTCTTTTTAGCTTATAAGATCTGTTTTTTTGCAGTTAACTATTTGATAAATATTTTTTAAAACATGTAAGATGGTGTGGAGTCTTCACAGTATCACAGTTTTAATCTTTTCTATGATTTATTCATATTTTGATTTGAATAGTTTATCTAGATATATTCCAATTTGATTTTGATTCATAACTTTGTCATACTTTATTATTTAAAGGAAATTTTAGAAGATGTTACTCATGTGTTGTTTATGTGTTCATGTTGGCTAAATTATAAGTAGTAGCTATGTTTTAATTAGTTGTTATATTTCAAATGTAAAATTACTTGTATAGTATTTTATTGTTAGTTTTTTAAACCAGACACAGCCAAGGTATTAGTCATTGTAAATTTAAATAATATATTTAATTTAGAAACTTGTATAACCTACTGTAACTTTATATGGTTATTCATAATTAATATCAATATTTTATAAATCATAAATTTTGTAGAACTAAATTTCAAACTAATTTTCTTCTTAGATTTTGTTTTTTTTTGTTATTTTATATATCTTTCGATGGTAATTTTATATTTTATTTTAATTTATCTAATATTGTGCATGCTTGTTATACTTAAAACATATATATTTTTAATTAATTTCTTTTGTTATTGATTTCCAAAATTGGGAGCATATATCAATTTAATCTCTTTTACATAAATATTTTTTTTTGTAAAATTTATTTCTTACATTAATTTTTATTTTAATTATAATGCTATTTTGACATGCTATAACTGGTATTCTAAATTTTATGTGGACTTCTCTCAAAAGCTTATACCATCATTTACTTTTTGTAGTTAATTTTTTATGTGGTTTTCCAAAATATTAACCTAAATATCAAGCTAGGTTTTCTTTATACAACTTTTCTTTTGATAATTTATCTCACTTGATATTAATTTTTATTTTATTTTAACATATAATTGTAGTGACAATATTGATTATTTTGAAGACATTTTTTGTATTTTTGTTTTGTTTTATTATTCTTTGTTAATTATTTTCTTAATATTGATTTTTAAAATAATTACCTTAAATATTTATCTTCTTTTTGTTAGTAAAGTTATTTAGTATTAGTAAGTTTTCTTATTTTCTAACTTATTTTGTTTATATTGATTTTGTTTAATAAAAAATGGCATAGATATCAAGTTAATATTATTTTTTTGTATTTCACTATTTCAATATGAATTTTCATTTTAATTGTATTGGCATGTTGTAAAAAATAATTTACTTTTGTTTTTTTGTTTTTTATTTAACTTTTTTGGTTAGTTCAGATTTTTGTGTTGATTTTTTAAATAATTAGGCTAAATATTAAGTTTTAGATAGTTTTTTTATAGTAATGGTAGTTTTAAATAACAATTTTATATGTGGATAGTTTTTTTATAGTATTGGTAGTTTTAAATAACAATTTTATATGTTTATAGAAAAAATCTAATCTTCATATTTTTCTAAAATAATTACTCATATAAAATATATATGTTAATTATTTTTCTTTTTTAATTAAGTTTATTTGTTATTGATTTACATATTTGTTTTTGTTAGTTTAACTTTTGTGACAATAAGTTTCCATTATATTTTGACAAACATATATTTGGATTTTTGATATAATTTTATTTTATCTGTTTTGTTAGTTAAACTTGTTAGTCTTAATTTTTATTCTACTATGATAATTTTATATTTTTGCTTGTTTTAATTTATATAAATTATTAATCATATTTAACATTTTATGTTTAATTAAAAATGCTGATGTGGACCAATCGGCTTGAGTTTTTACATCATATGTAGACGCTCTCATTGGCCTTAGACATCAACACATATCACAACTAATATATTTTAGGTTAGCAGTTCAAATTTTAATTGTTTGTCATGATTAAAATTTTAAAATAATTTAATTATGGTCTTAAATATGGTTTTTAATTATTTTGTTCAATATATATGATTTTCTTTAACAATCTATTTATAAGTTAAATTTTTTGTTTTTTAAAGATATTTATATGTTAATTTACTTTTTTATTAATAGAAAAATAAAATCTACTTTATAAACTCTTTCTTATTAATAACTAACTTAAAATTTTGAAACTTTTCTAATAACAACAAAAATAAAATTAATTAAAATTTAAAAATTTTCTTTATAATAACAAAAACAAATTAATTAATTTTAATATACAATATATAATTAACTGTATATAATGATGATGTGTAACAATAAAATTGAATCTTCTAATTTACTTTTTTGTTAATAGAAAAATAAGATCTACTTTATAAACTTTTCTTATTAGTAACTAACTTAAATTTTTGAAACTTTCCTAATAACAACAAAAACAAAATTAATTAAAATTTAGAAATTTTCTTTATAATAATAAAAACAAATTAATTAATTTAAATATATAATATATAATTAACTGTATATAATGATGATGTGTACTAATAGAATTGAATCTTTTAATCTTATGTGGACATATATCTTTAGAGGTATTTAGCTTCAACTTTTATAAGTAATAGATATCAAGTACGTTTAACTTATATCGAATCCAGTTTCCAAGCGCCAAATTTGAAAGATGAAATTTTAAAATATACCTGAAAAAAAAAAAACTTAATGCTTTTCAATTACAAAATTGTAAGATGTATTCTGCCCCAGTACAAAAGATGTTTAAATACAATATAAAAACCATTAATCAACTTGAAAGCTCTTCTCAGATTTTGAGTGTAAAATGAATTGTTTCATACATAAAACACGTTGCTAGATGTTGTTTAGTCCCACGAGACAGAAGCTCTTCTCCAATTTTATTTCAAAAAGAAATAGAAAACAAAAATTGTCTCCTATGTACGTACGTGCATAGTTTGTCTCCAACAGCTAAAGGATAGTTTTCTTTTCTTTTTTTTGCTATGAAGCTAAAGGATATTTGCGTCACAACAAAAATCTGTTTGGTATATTTCGTTTATTTTATCTACTATAGCTGGTCACTATTTATTTCAACTTTGAAGAATCTTAAATAATCATGTAGAAACACTGTATTATTTAGAACAAGAATAAAATTCACACCGTTTACCAAACATAAATAAGCTTTTTTATTTCTTTTGAAACAAATAAATATAGAAAGATCAAATGTGCATTTTGCTTCTGCATTTTAGTCCATCGCACGAATTGCAGCACCTTTAACCAAAAGCCCGGTCTTGCGGATGGAGTCGTCATGCTGGGACATGGTGAAAGTGATCCTCGCGGGTAGATTGTTTGGTGGTGCCACAAAATCCCCGGCCTTGATGTCGACCCATTCGTCGTCATCTTTGTATGTGTCTAAATAAACTACCTGCTCCTGCAGAAACTCCCTTTTATCGTGCATAACCATCTTCAGATTCAACTTCACCGGCTCATGCCATCCATCTGCATTCTCTTCCAGCTTGACCACGAACACCACTTCGTACTTTGTCTCTGGTGTCAGTTTCCTCGTATTAAAATTTCCTGTTATGTTCGTCCAGTATTCTTCTTTCATTGTTGCAATCGCTACTTCGCTGCAATGTATTTCGAAAATATAACTATTTAGAAAAAATGGCCAAAAAAGTAGTCAATTCTAACAGATTCATATCGAACTTAACCAAAAAAAAATAGTCTTACTTTGGTGCCTCGTGAATTGAACTCCAGGTCCAATTTTCGGGATTGTCCGAATGAGCAATCTGGATTTTTCTTGCATAGATCATGGAACTATCTGCATTTCCTTCCACTGGGATTCTGTCCAGCACTGTCTTAACCTTCTTGATGATTTTATTTATAAATTTACTATCGGACTGGCCACTGTTTCGTGGTAGAAGTGAGAGAAATCAAGATATTAACAGTTAGCCAGTTCTGACTCAATTCTGAATTCCACAAAAATAAAAAAACACATAGCCTTTTTTTTACCAATGTTATTAAATCGAACCAGCTACGACGACTACAAACCGAAATGGTAATCAGATTGGATTTACGTAAAATCTATTTTAGCCAGTTTTATTAAAAGTTGAAAATTCTACAAAACTTCGAAAAATATTTTGTATTGAAAAATATATACTGTTATAAATAAATATAGATACTGAGAAAACGATTTCCTAGCTTTACATAAAATATAATAATTATAATATTTTGTGCTAAACAAAAAAAAATATTATTAGTATAATTATTATTATTATTATTATTTAGGAGGGAAAATCAGTATAGCTTCTCCATAAGAATTATTCGCCTATATTAGAAAAGACCAATCATTTGTTCGCTACCCTTTTTTCACGTCAAATATGTTAGCTACTTAACCAAGTTATACACATGCATGCATTGATTTTTAACTAATGCTATGCCTCTATCAGATTACCAAAAAACATGTCATGCCTCTATCTTCAATTTCGTCATGATCATGACTTTCACTACAATAATTCTAATTTTTAAATTCAACTTCTACAATTCTATTATAAAATTAGCGGTAGTAGTATAAGAGTACACGATGTTTTCGTCTTCATTAGACTTAAATTTCATATAGAAAACGAGAAAACAAGCCTTTTAACAACAACAACAACAAAACGAAAAAAACAAACTTATAGCAAATAAGGTATAGACATCTTTTGTTTTCAAAACTAAATTGTAATTTCTTAGGAAATATTTTGACCCGAAAAATTGATAACCTTCTTAACTGAATCAATAAAGTTCGTGTAATAATATAATATCTCATGTATAGTTTTAAATGATAAAACAGGACATATTTACAGTGGAAACAAAAAAAAAACGACATATTTTTAACACGAAGCTACTAAGCTTTCTTTCACCTTTATATAGCCGAAAAAATTCTTCACTGAAAATCCAATATTATTGCGGAGATATGTATGATATTTAAATCTAAGGTTTTTTGCCAATTAAACGTTTTGTACGGTGAAAAAAAAAATGATCCCTGTTTTCAACCACTAAACAGAACAAGGTGGACTGTTATGGTTTAAATTTTGATTAATTAGTTTCAGTAAAAATAAGAAAAGAGAAGGGAACAAATATAACCTTTCTTCACTCAAGTGCACGCCTATTATATCGGCAATAGACGTTAAAGCTTCCTCCCATTTCTGTGTTTTTTTCAGATCGTGTCGATTTTCGCGTTTCAGTTTCCTGAATTTATCACCAAAACTTCCCTCGAGATTTTTCAAAACGGAAGGAGCCACCTTATAGAAGATGGGAATCCCTGTAAGCGTGCCTTTAGCCATGCATTCCTTGATCTTGACCAGCTCGTCCAAACACCATACTGAATCAGTGTACTCTTTTGAGAAGATCGCCAGCGCGACCCTTGACTCCTCGATCCTAAACAACAGGTGTTGTAAGTTTCTGCCCACCTCCTCGTGGCTGTCTATGAAAAAGTTGATTTTCGCTGCCTTCATAGCATTCACCAGAGAGTCCACGAAGTTTTTGCGCAGCTCGTCTCCACGGAAGTTGATGAACACTTGAGGGCCTTTTGAGATCCGTCCTGCACCAGATGAAGCAGAAGCATCCATATGGTTAGAGCTTTTTTCTTCTTCTTTTTTTCTTTTACGCAATAGAGTGTTTGGTTGATTGTTGTTTGACCCTTGTGTGTTTGTTAAGATGACATAACCCATAATGCTACTCTAACGTATTATTAATAGACAGGTCCCTGTCTCCCTGGGATATATTTGATCTATTAATTAACTTTGCTTTTTTCTCAAGCTTAATCGCTAAGTCAAACATAATTTGTTTAACATAGTTGGTTTACATGCTGGTTTACCTATGAGTATACCGACTGATAGTACCTTTATTTGTTTGATTCGAGCTTTTTTATAGGGTTTACTGAATTTTTTAACTGCGCCTATAGTTCATGTAAATAATGCCTTTTGTAAATATAATTCATGTTTTATCAACGAAAATCCGAGTACATAATATCTTCTCTCTTTTTTTTGCTAAATAAGTACAGAGTACAGTATCTTGAATACGTATTTTTCATCATCAAAATTCAGATTAACATGTTAGTTTGTCGGATATATAAACCTATCTCTACGTACAAATCATGCCAGGTTTAGGAAATTTGGTAGGGTTCAAATATATACATCAAATATGAAGCAACCTTTACATTTGGGTTCTTGGATTTCAGATTTTTAAAATAAAATTAACTCATGTTAAACCATTTGGCGGTGGCGAAAACTATTTGAATGATAAGGGAATCAATTTATGAATTCGACCAACTAATAAAAACCACTAAAAAATATATAACCACCACTTGGTTATCAAAGCAGACTTTTTTTTCTATCTAGTATATGGATAAAACTATTAGGTCAATATGAAAGTGTGCATTTTTAAGATGACCGTATGAGTTTGATTGGTTGTAAATGAGGTCTACACTTATAAAGTCTTTCTTATATGTATAGTTCAAGTGTCTACGACGACTTTTTCAAATCATTTCCTTAAATTATATAGTCTATAAGTGTCAACGTCAAAATTAATTTTCTTAGCCAAAAATGCGCTAACTTCCAAACTGCAACTCAAAATATCTAATTAACAAAAGAAGATGGCTTGTTCATCTACAACGTCGGAGAAGTTGAATATCATACATGTTATAAATCCAATCGAATATCATACATGTTATAATTTTCCGACATTAAAAAATTGTAACATTAAATTCCAATTCACTGGCAAAAAAGAGCATGTCATGTTACTAAGTCATCATAACAAAGAAAAGTTGTTATGAAACGGATTGACACTACAAGAACTGAACAACATAGCTACATAATTTACTACATCAATAAATTATAACAAAATTTTGTTGCAAATAGTTACAAATTTGTGACATTTTAAAAATTTTCATTTTCGTGATAAATTAGTAAAAGTTTATAGCTAATTAGAGACAAATTAGAAACAAATTAGATGTTGTAGCATATGTACTACAACTTTGTTACACAGTGGTTGTAACAATATTTAACACAATAAATTTGTAGTAAAATTGTAATAAAATATTATAAATTTATTATAATTTAGGTTTGTAGTAAAACCGTTGAATTTAAAAAAATTTAAAGAAAATAGTAGCAGATTGTTAATTCTTATCAAAATTTCTACAAAATATTTGGTAGGATCATTTTTTTACGAAATTATAATTAAAAAATTTGTAAAAAATTTCCCATAAATCAAAGTCGTTAAAAATAATCAAATATTTCCTACCATTTTCCTATTTAACTGATGTCGTAAGTAATTTAATTAAAAAATTAGTAAAAATTGGTTAAAAATGTTTGACCACTAAAAAAGGTAGGAAATTCGTTAAATATTTTCTACCACTTTTTTACCAAACTATATCTGTAGATTAATAAATAATAATTTTAAATATAAAATATCTGTAGTAGGAAATTGGTAAGTTATTTTTAAAATAATGGATTTTCTACAAGTATGAAGCCCAATTTCAACAATCCATTATTTCAAAAATATCTGTGGTAGAGAACCCATGCATATCACCAAATTCAAACTCTTTTTTGTAGGCAAAAGAGAGATTTTGGTCGATTTTTCTTTGGCTCTTTGTGCCTGTTAAGATGCCTTAGACTAATACGCTAATCCAACCTTCTTATAATGTATATAAATTGTCCTCGAGAATCAAGTTTTTCCTAATAATTTACTAACCAGCAAACACAAACATAACTGATAGATTGAATTTACTAAGTCTTAACTTTATCATACTTCAACCGAGTACTTTCTTGGATAAGCAGATTTTTAATCAAAATAATAGTATCAAAATGTTTTATTGGTCGCATGAGTAGTACACCAAAAGCCTTTTCCTTAAAGTCATATAATCATGTGAATTAACAATTGCAACTACGAAAAATCTTAGTAATATAAATAGAAGTTACTTGTTCATATCAATTAACAAGTGTGTTGTATTCCGATATAGTGAAGAATATATATTTTAGATATAAAGGTTAAACCAACGAATTACTAAATTATTATATGCAAATAAAGCAATCTTGTAAAAATTCAAATACAAACATAAATTCAGTAAATCGTAAACATTTAGCATAAGGAACCCTGTTTAACCAAAAACAAAATCCAAAAATGCGAAACAATCAACTTAATATATTCATTACAATAGTACAAAAATATAGAGAGTGCCCCTATAATATAAAGATGGGTCACTCAACCATTATTCATCAGCGTGTACGTGGCTTGTGCATGCCTTTGACTTACTCCTTTGGACGAACTATAGCACCTTTAACCTGAAGCCCCGTCATCTTCTTGTCAGCGTTATGCTGATACAAACAGAAAGCGACCTTCTCCTTATGCGGCTGCGCAACGAAAACTCCAGCCTGAATATCAACCCACTCGTTTTTTATGAGATCAACAAACTGCAGTTCCCGCTCTTGCAGCTCCTTATCGGGTACCATCAGTTGTACCTTCGCCGGATAATCCCATCTAGACATTGTATCCTCTACTTTCACCACGAACACCACCTCGTACTTTGTCCCCGATGTAAGTTCTTTGGTATCTAACTTTCCGCACACATCTAGATAAGGACATTCTCTCATCTTTGCAACTTCAATGGCCACCTCACTGAACATAATAAAACTATTAGGTCTTGGATAAGAGAATGATCTCACCATATGTGATTAAACGGTCAAGTATTAATTTTTGGTGTTTTATATGGTTCATAAATCGAATTTGCGACGATTTTTAGTATGGATGTAATTGCATATTTTTAGTATGAATGAAAATATAATTTAGTGAAAACTCCAATCTAATATGATTATATATTTTGATAAATTAATAACTTTGATGGTGGAAATAATTGTGTGTTTGAGGGTGTATGTTTTCCTTAATGTTCTAACTGATTTTGATATGATAACACATGAATAAGGTTCACAATGCCCAATGGCATATCACGTGCTATAACACATGAATAAGGTTAACAATGAAGTGTTCCTACTTTAATAGAATAGATTATGTGAGGTTCTCACTCTGAAAGTTATACGAGCTGAGTCTATTCGTTCATTTATTTTAGAACATTTTGAAATCCAAATATATAAATTTTGAATTTATTTTTGTCCTAATTAATCTTTAAAAAAATTAACAAATAAAAAATTTGAAATTACTTTTTTTATAGGAATTTACAAATAACTACTATTACCCTAAAATTTATCTTCATACTTTTTAACTGATAATCTAAAAGGATGAAATAACTCAAAATCAAAAAGGATGAAATATATATAAGATTATATGTAATAAAGAAAAAAATAGAGAGATATTATTTCTTTATATAATCAGAAAATAGTTTATACTACTGTTATTACTATGGCACCGAATTTAAACCCACATCATCCATATCGTTGACGATATATATATATAGATATGAATTTGTAAGAAAGGACTCGTACTTGGGTGACTCGGATAGAGACACAAAGGTCCAATATCTGGCATTGAACGAGCTGCTTATCTTGAGTTGCCTTACATTGATCATGTTACCCTGTCGTTCTACAACCGCCTGTCGTATCTGAGCTGCTTCAGGTTGCTGTCTTTCCTGAATCGCTTCGGGATGTCTTTCCTGAATTGCTTCGGGCTTTCTGGCCTTAATTTCCTCCAGCGATTTTTTTACCTCTTTGACGATTTCGTCTACGAAGTCTTTGTCGGTCTTGCCACTAATAAAAATGAGAGAAATCAATGGATGATCAGCTAGACATAAACTTGACATGACGTAAATATTTGCATTCGCACTGACAGGTTATAATATTGTAATCATTGTTTGAAAATAATCAAAGAACAGAGGAAAAAAGAAAACCTAGTTTCCGACATCGACAAGCCAAAGAACAAGGGAACGGACATCAAGGCATCTTTCCAGCTCTGGACTCTTGCTGGCTCTGCTACGTTATGTTTTCCCCTCAGTCTCCTATACTGATCACCGAAGTCTCCAGTACGATATTTAACAGAAGCAACCTTGACCTTGTAGAAGACTGGGATCACGTTAAGTTTCTCGATCTTCACGCATTCATAGATCTTGGCTAGCTCGTCCAAGCACCATTCTGACGTTGAGTACTTCTCGGAGAATATTGCCAGCGCGATCTTCGACTCCTCGATTCTTTGAAACAGGTTTGTAAGGTGTTCTCCCCTCACCTCTCGATCGTCTATGAAGACGTTGACATTTTCTTTGCTCAAAGCGGGCACGAGAAAGCTCAGAATGCCTCTGCGAATATCTAGTCCCCGGAAGTTGATGAACACTTGCGGTCCCGTTCGGGTCAGTCCTATAACAGAAGGAGAAGAAGAAGAAGAAGAAGCCATTGTGTGAGACCTACTTTTTTTTCTAGGCAAAAGAGAGTTTTTGGTCGATCTTTCTCTCAATCGTTGTGCTTGTTAAGATGCCTTACACCATTACGCTAATCAACCTTCTTATGTATATAAATTAATTCTCGAGATAATTAAATAAGTTGTCGACTTTTTCCTAATATTTTATTAACCAGCAAACACAAACAAAATTGATTGTTTGAATTATGTTTTAACTACATAACTCGAAACCGAGTACTTTCGTCGATAAGTACATTTTTAACCGAAATAATAGTAATTTGCCGTGATAAAATATAGTATCAAATAAGAATATCTACAATTTCTCTATCGACGGATTAAATTAAACCAATAAACCCTGGCTGTTAAACCGTGTTTTATTGTGGAAACTAATGTATATATATATATATATATATATATACCAACTATAAAAGGGTCCCAATTTTCAAACTAATCAAAATGTTTTATTGGTTGCCTGAGTCACACCAAAAGTCTTTCCTAAGATTATAATCAAAGTGTCATGGACTTCACCAGAATCTTTCTATAAAGTCATATAATCATGTCAATTAACAATTGCAACTACGAAAAATCTTAGAGTATTATCAAGAGAAGTTGACTTGTTCATATCAATGAAGAATCTCAGCTCTCAACAGGTCTTTGTTTTTGTTAAAGAACGCGGAGAGACAGGTCAAATCATGCAATTTTCCATTTTAAATTTTATGTTTTCATAATTAACAGATCATGGAGGTGGAACACATATATATTTCAAAATTAACATGAATGATTTCTATCGAATGGTGGAGTCACCAAAATTGTATATAAAACTGAGTTGTAAGGAAAGTGTTTTATTTTTTTACTCATCATTCATCAAGCATTATAGCATACTTACACTTCGGTTGAAGATCTTCTATCTAAGCCAAACTATATTAATTTGTATCTCTACAAGTTTGGGATTTTTCAAAAAAAAAAAAACATGTAAATAGATATTATCTTTTCACGCATATCACCAAATTCAAACTCGGTTCCAGTGGAATTGAAACAACTATTTCTCACTACTAACTACTAGAGCTAATCATACTTTTATGAAGCTAAACTATGTACCCATGACAATTTTTAAGTTAACTAAACCATATACAAACTAAAATGGAATAAAAGTTCAACTTTCAAGAACTTCAAACAAATTAAGTATCCGAAAAGAAATGAATGACAAACAATTAAATAAAATAAGAATGAAGTACACACACTTTTACCAAAAGCAAAACCACTTTCTTAACTAGAATAAAATAAATAAATTTAAAATTTAAAATAGAAAGATCCACTTATTCTTTGCTTTTTAGTGCATTAGACCAACCCCAATGCATACGAGAGGATCTAAAAAAGTGTTCCAAAGATTAAAAATGAATAAAAAAAATAAAATTGGTATCTTAATATTAAAACCGAGATCCAAAATTGGATGTTTTGTTTAATTTAAGAACAGTGACGTGTTTTCTTATTATTGGATAGCTAAAACAAAACAATAAAATAAAAAAATAAAAAATTCTCTAATCATTTTTTCGTCTCTCTCTTTGTCTTCGTCTTTCTTCGTGAATCCGCGCCTGAAAATACTGAAGAATGAAAAGGATACACAGATTAAACAATTGAACCAATTCTCTCCTTAATTGCTCGAGTCCGAGAAAATTCGGGTAAGTAACCAAGTGAATTCTTTTCATTTGTCTGCATTTGAAATTGATGATCTTTGAATTTGGTAAACCGAAATCTGCGATTAATTAGTATTTTCAAACGCATCAATGAGTCTGTGTTTCACTCATGGATTTGGATTTCTTTCTGACGTGGAGCATGTGGTGAGGGAAGAGAAGACAGTGGCTGATTATGTTTCCCTCGAGATCAGACACATCTCACCTGCTATGGTAACACCGTTGATCGAATTGTGTTTTGGCTATTTGTTGATTTTTCTTTTTTTCGTAATCAGACTTCTTAACAAATATGTATGGCTAATCTTATTCTATATATGTCGAAACATTGATTTGTATTACACTAATCTCTCATTTGTTTCTTATCTCGCAGTGATCTTTCCTATAATAATTTCACATGGTCTCCGATTTGCAAAGAGAGGAAGTATGTTCTTTTGTTGTTGTCTTAACTTTCTTCTTTTGTCTTCTCAATCTTTCTGGATGCTTTTAACATATACTTTCATGCAGGAATATAAACACTTACGAGAGTTCATACTCAGGAAACAGACTGTAAGAACATTTTCTCAATCTTATTAGTTATTAATCACTGGCCACTTCATGTTCTTTCATTTCAACTCATTGCTCTGTATACAGAGACAGACTTCTTCCCTGTTCCGCCATAAAGCATTGTCAAAATTGTAGGTTTGTTTTGCTTTTCTATTGATTTTCCAGATACTCTTTTTGTAAGTTTCTGGAGCTGAACTTGCAAATGCTCACTCTCTATAGATAGTAGGTCGCTGCATATAAACTGTGGGGGACCTAACGTCACTATCGAGAACTCTCGTGGAAAGTTTCTGTACCAGGGCGATAACTATGGACCTACTAGTTCAGCTACGAACTATCATGGGAAAAACTGGGGATTCAGCAATACTGGTGACTTCATGGATGATTCAAAAACAGAAGATGCATACTCGGTTTCATCAGAATCTGTAGAATCATCGAAATATCCTGAGCTTTATCGGACAGCCAGGCGTTCTCCCCTGAGTTTGGCTTACTTTGCGTTTTGCTTCGAAAATGGAAGTTATAATGTGAAACTCCATTTCGCTGAGATTCAGTTCTCAGACGAGGAACCATACAGCAGACTAGCAAAACGGGTTTTTAACATCTATGTTCAGGTACATAGCCTTTTTGCTGCGGATTCCTTAAGAAACATTCTCTCAGTGTTTTTAGTCCATTCTTGAAGTCTTAAACTTTGTTATCTGTTTAGGGGAAGTTGATTTGGCAGGATTTTAGCATCAGAGAGGAGGCTAATGGAACTCACAAGGAAGTTATAAAAGAAGTGAACACAACCGTGACTGATAACACTTTAGAGATACGGCTTTACTGGACAGGGAAAGGCACTATGTTGATTCCTCAACGAGGGAACTATGGCTCTCTTATCTCTGCAATCTCAGTTTGTCCCAGTAAGTAAAGTTCTGTACAAGTACACATCAATTTCTCCTCTGAAACATGCATCCTAATTCTGTTTTTGTTTTTGTTTTTGTTTTACAGGTTCAGAATCCAAATGTGGTGGTATGAAGACAATATGTCAAGTTTTTAGTCTTGTTTTTGTTTTTCAACTAACTTCGATGCCTGAATATAAGATTAATCTTCTCTCTTTATTGTCTTCTCTCCATCTTCAGTTCCAGTGCAGAATCTTCCAGTCAAAAAAGAGGATCATAAACCAACAAAATATCCTCTTATTGTCGGCTTAGCACTCTCTCTTGCTTTCTTGCTCCTCGGAGCATTCTGTTGGAGAAAATGTGTTAGTATACAGCAGAAAGAGGTACTGTTTCAGTTGAAAATACACTACATAACCAAACGTGTAAAGTTCTGTTTTGGATTTTTTTAGTAATTTGAGGGATAAAAGGAGCTGGTCTTATAACTGGTTCCTTCAGTTTGAGGCAACTAAAACTTGCAACAAACGATTTTAATCCCTTAAACAAGATTGGAGATTCTCTATTGCAATTATGTAATTTCTATGTTTCTATGTATTTTATTATGAAAATGTTTTATGTTTTAAAATTTGTTAACATAAGTTTTAATTTAAATTTATTAAAAAAATATATATTTTTTAAGACAGTGTAGGATTAAAAACAACTAAATTTTGCAAAGTGTCTTAACTATCTAAATATTATAAATTAATCACTAAGACCTTCCCGATGGTGTTACCATTGGGGTTGCTCTAAGTCCACTGAACGAATTGAAACACCACTGAACCATTTATTGCCTCTGTAATCGCCTAAGTTCAGTGTCCGCTCTTGCAGAATCTCCCTCGGATAAGGCACTACCAGCTCCAAGCTGAGAGTCACCGGTTCTTCCCATCCAGACGATGTATCATCTAACTTCACTACAAACACTACCTCGTACTTTTTCCCTGGAGTCAGATCTCTTGTATTAAAATTCCCGCTAATGTGTAGCGAGTAGACTCCATTCAGTGTCGCAACTTCAATGACAGATTCACTGAAAAAAGTATTTAGGATATGAATTATAACTATTTCTCACTTTTTGGGTAAACGTTTGCTTCTTCTTCCTTTTTACTTCTACCTTGACTTACTTAATCTATTAGAAATAGATGCTTTTAAACAAAGGAAGCTAGATGTAGCAGGGATCTATTGTTTTCGAAAATATGTTACATTATTAAACAACTTGCAATGAAAAATGCAATTCCATTTTTGTCCAAAAAAATTTGATATGTTAAAGATATTTGTATATTCTTATAAAACAAAGAACAGTCATATATATATATAGAGAGAGAGAGAGAGAGCTTATTCGTAATAAAATTACAAAAATCTTACTTTGATGCATCGTAGATTGAGCTCCAGGTCCAAACGTTGGGGTACTTCGACTGACTGATCTCCATTTGCCTTGCATAGATCATTACCCCTTTTTGTCGTCGCCGACCTACGTTTCCTACCATGGATATGTTTGCCAACAATCTCTTAACCTCCTCCACGATTTTGTCTACAAATTCTTTATCCGACCTGTCACTGTCGACATAGAAGGGGATACGAGTGAGGGACAACAACGCATCAAATAGAGCTTGTAATCTACTTACTTGGTTGGGTGTTCAGTGTTCTTCTACAAAAAAATTTCAGGCTCTGGCTCAACCTGATGTCAAACATTCATGTAGAGGGGAGAATTAAGTTGCGTACGCAAGTCTTCGAGATCATTTTAATTAAGTTGTCAACTTGTCGTAGTTTATTTAACTAATAAAACGTAATTTGAACTTGTCTTTAACTCAAAACGCCAAGAAATGGCCAAGTAATATTTTAGATAACCAGTTTTGTGAATCGAAATTCAAATTAAGGCTAGTTTATTTCATTATGGTTAAATAGACTCAAATAGTAAACGACCACGTGTTATGATTTAGATTTCAAATCCTGCTCTCAACGTAAGCATAAAATTTAAAACACACACAATCTATAGTGGTTCACATTGTCAACTTTCTATCATTACAATTTACAAATTTCACTATGATAAAATCGGGAATTACAACTTTTTATGTATGTCCGCATTACAGCATAATGGCTCGATGGTAGAATAAAAGAAAATAAATCATATGACCCTTAATTGTATTCTTTTTGCTCTTACATGCATTATCATCTTTTTTATTCTTTTTTCATCCTTGTAATATCCTTAGTTATATTTTTTATCCGGGACAAAGGAACCCATGGGGAAGGTGCTCCTTCGAAGCCAATGTCGACCTAATTGGTCAGATGGATCAACATCAAACCGTTCATCATGTCTTCAACGTCATCCAGAGACAGACTCCACAATTCAACACCCACATTCTCGACCAACAAACCAAAACCACTAAACTATAAACATTTATTTTTACGGATAAACAGGTTGTTTATTCCCAAAAAAAAAAATAGTTTATCAATTCTATCAAAAAATAGCTTGTAAAATTTAAGTTTTAAGTTTATTCAATTAAGTTTTTCTGTCCTAATAATTCTGTTAGTTTATATACAGCCAGTTATTTTGATATTTTGCTATTAAGTTGATATATCAGCTCATTGTATAATCTATGTGTTTAAGACTTGTTCAAAGTGTTTCCTAGAATTAGATAATTGAAAGTGTCAACTTCAAAGTTAAATCTATCTGCCATAAAAAACAAATATATATATATATATATATAGATATATGTTAACTTCCAACTTGCAACTCGAAACAAGAAAAAGATAACAAGAAGATGACTTTTTTATTCACATGCACGTTTTTATCCAACTGAGATTCTGTTTTTTGTATCAAGAAATTATAGATTAATTAAGCGTATGGCCGTATGCGACTAGTGGTATGACCGTATGAAGCCAATTCCCGAAGCATCTTTTACTAATAATGAGACAATGTGATAACGAACAAAAAACTATACTTTCTTCACGTTTATATGTTTGCGGTTGTGTTATTACATGAAAGCACAACACATACGTAACTGCAAACAAATAATCAAACCAGTTTTTCTTGTTATTGAATCGGGTACAGAGGAAGTTTGTCTTTATTCAAGTCTTTAGTTCGGCCTTCTAAAGGCCCATCAAAAAGTTAACATTCCGAATTCACGCATGGAAGCTTTGTTTTGGGCGACACATGAAAGTGTTTTCAAATTACTGTATAGATAATGATGGTCATGGAAAGTAAACACGCCCATTGAGCTGTTTTATATTTTTAATCAAATTCAGATTAAAATAATAAAAGCTATTTTAATTAACTTGATCACTAATCCAACTGATATTTTCTTTTTTTGATGATATTAAACAGATTAAGTTTTGCTGTCACGATCTGTACTATCTCATGACTATGATGATGGTATTCAATGGAATTCTTTGTACGTGAATTCTGTAAAAAGATATAGTCTTCTTCCAGAACATAATATTTATGTAATACTCCCTTTATTTTATAATAAGTGTTATTTAGAGAAAATATATCTACAATGTATTTGGATGTATTAAACATAAAACACATTTAAATATATTCAATTACAATGCATATACATTTTCTCCAAATGACACTTATTATGATTCATGAAACGGAAAGAATATAATAAATAATGGATTACATATGATGAGCTAACGCGAAGATCTCACTACTAAAATGAAATATAGTAAAAAAATATATAAAAAAAAATCCTACAAAATATATAAGTTAACTTTTGTAGTCTCGCTATTAAATGCAGAATATAAACTTATTTAAAATCCATATCAATCCCGTGAGAGGTTTTTTATTATATCGTAAAAATTAGCTCCTGTATTCGTTGTATTATATTTTTTGTAAACCTCTTCGCTATTTATTTTATATGGGTACATCGTTGCATGCATCTTCACGGATCATAATAAATCGTAGTCTTCTTCAAATTAGCATTTTGCTGGCTCATATTGATTTAGACGTTTAACTAATCCGAGAATCATAGTTTCTTAATTGCTTTTAATTACTTATAATGGCCGCCTAAGATTGTCATGTCGGTTTGGGCTGCTTAATTATATATTCAATGTTTTGTTTTCGTCAACTTTAAAAAAAAAACTATTGATATAATTTCGCATTTATGGAAAAAAATCAAATCATTTGTCATCATTTCAATAAAAACGTCTTTAACATCCACATCATGAATGGTAGTTGTTAGTTTTTTTTGGTGTAAATGAATAGTAGTTAGTAACTACTAATCGATTATTATGCTTGTATATAATCTCTTCCAATGTAATTAATAAATTAGAATCGTATACAAAACATAAAAATGATATTCGTTTGGTATTTGTATTCTAATTTTGGTCAACGTTATATTTTGAATTTTAGTTAAGCAGTGATTCAATATGTATATTGTCCAGAAATTTATATCGCGGTTATGATTAAAGATTAGAAATTTAGTCTGAGAAATTGCTGAAGAAGTTTCCCGGTGGCCTCTCAAATATGATTGTATTGTGGAACTATCGTGGTTATTAACATTGCTCCTTTGAACGATAATCAAAGCAAATTAAATTCAAGAATAGCACAGTGGTCTTTGTCTGTCCGAATCATGATAAGGTATATATTATGTAAATAATTATAGTGATTTAAACTTTATGACATAAAATATAGTATGTGATATATACTTATAATTAAATGAGTGATTAGATCTGAATCCGTGTCGTGGTTAAAGACTTAGACGGCGGGATTAGTGGGACAGACAGGTTATGGAGAGGAGTGCGTTTAAAACATTCCATTCAGATACGTGGAATCGGAAGATGATTACTAAACTTTAGCCTTACGGGTAAATTTTGCTTTTACAAACTAAATATGAAGTACTATTAAAATAGTTAAAAGTAAATAGTCGAAAATGCTATCAATTAACAAATAATTATAAATCTAAAACCCTAAACTCCAATTACTAAACTTTAAACTGCACACTTTTTCGAAAGCTTAAATGCTTAATGCCCCTCAATTAACAAATCATTCCGAAAGATCATCACCTATTTTGTAAAAATAAAGAAACACTAAGTTAGGTACTCGGTGTAAAACTTGCTTCATAATTTGAAAGCCCTTTTGCACAAACAAAAAAATAAACAAATTTGAAAGCCCTTTGTCAAAAAAAAAAAAAAAAAAAAAAAAAAAACTAGCTACATAATAATAGATTTAACAATTTAAACGCCATCCCCTCCCCTCCCCTCCCCCTCTGCAAAGAAAATGGCTAAACCTTAAAGGCTTAAACCAAGAATTAAAACCCTACCTCCCAAAACTTATTTCATTAAACCTTTAAGATAAAAACAATTAGTTTTAAATTTTTTAAAATGATTCAGCTTTTTTAATCTTTGTCTCTGTCATCTTTTAAATATTATATTATTTCACTTCATATGATAACAACCAATTTTGACTATAAATACCGTCATCAA